TCCCTCTGGACATGTTGTCTCCCCCCAAAGAGGGTTCTGGTCCTTTTTCACTGGCCTTTAGGAGCAGGATTTGCTTTCATAGGTAATAGGCTTCTCCCTGTGAAATAATTTAATAGCAAGTGCACTCCTCTGAGCACCTGCGAGCACCAGTAGGCTTTCTGCCTTCCAGCAGCAGTGTCTCCTACAGCTCCCCATGGTGCTATACGTCTTGACAACCCACACCCTTGCTCAGCGTGGCCAGCACCTAATAGGCACCGTGGAGTCCCATTGAAATAGCATGTATTAGTGGCTTTAGAGTAAACTGCTTGCAAAAATCAGCCTAGATAAAATACCCAGATGTTTATGGTCAAAAGGTGTATTGGGAGCCAGTGAGGCAGCAAAGGCCTATTTGGACTGTGTGTTTCAAGGCTTAACAAGATTAACATCTGCATTTGCAAGCTTCTACCAATTGAATCTTGCTTTTTCTATACCCCTTTGTTTTGTTGAGTTAAAAAGAGAGTTTTAAAAAGAAAGTCTTCTCAGTAGTGTGAGACAAATGCAGCTTGGGCTCCACTTGTCTGATGCAATCAGGAGCATGGCAAAAGAATTAATTGCTGCAGAAAAGATGTATTTGATTCCCTTTCTGGAACACAACAAGTCTGTAAAACAAATACGACACTTGTAGGTGTACCTAGTTTCCCCTTACCACAGTTACTCCAGTGATGTGACATAAGCCCACTGCCCAGTTATAAAAAATGATCACGGCCATGGATGAAAAGAAAATCCAGCAACAGCAAACAAAGTTCACTGTTTTATGTTGCTGTCTTTCAGTGCTATGGTAGTGCTTACCCTATTTGAGAAAAAGGGAAACAGAGATGAAGTTTACTTAAAACAAAGAAAGAAAAAGCCACATGCACACAAAGATCGGGGGTGACAGCCCAGCTCCACAGATGTGTGGCAAGCTGTGCTTTTTCCAAAGCTCCCTTCTCTCTGCTGACCAAAGAGCATCTATGACAGCGTTATCCCCTTGGTGCATCTCATGCTTTCATTCTGCTTTCTCACATAATGCAGAACGTGTAGCACAACCTCCTTGCTTCAGTAGGTGGCAAAGGGTGAGATCTGGGAAATACAGCCCCATTCCTCCCGGGTGAAGGGATGCAGCCTAATCTGGTTTTCATAGCCACCTGGCTTCGGTGTGTAAATGAAAAGGCAGTGTATTCTGTAAATTGTAGGTGGCAATATCTTTTGCACTTTGAGTCAGCAGGAGATAAAATCACAAGGAGACATCTTTATCCCGTACCACAGAGCTCCAGAGCCCCAGCACTCTGTACAGGTGTTGTCCTTGGGCTTTTGCTGGGATGAGGGATGGGTCCCACCTTTGCTACCTGAGCCACAGGTATGGCACATGCTTCTTGCAGCTGCTGTTGCTGGTGCTGTTCTGTGTCTCCAACATAATTTTAGGTGCCTTATTAGACTTATGATTGATGACAGACAAAGAGGATATACAGCTACTCACTGACATTCATGCTTGCCTTTTAAATATCATACTCTGTGGCTTCAGATCTCTATTTTACACTCAAGTGCTCTAAGCCCCACATTAGTGCATCTCTTCCTCCTCCGAATTAGCGTATTCCCTTAAATTCACTCATATTTCAGTAGCCGGTCTTTAAAGCAAATTGTGCATTATTTGCCCTTTTCTTTTTTCTCCTTACATTCCTTACTTCTCAGTCCAGCATGAACTCTCCACTGTGACTAAATTATAAACATTCTGCTTGCCGTTATGTCGGACCCCAGCTATTTTTTTTCTTCCTTATTAAATTATGTTTACCTGAATACATCAGGTTCATTTCACCTAGGCAGGATGTCCCATTAAGCATGACAAGTAGGAGGTTGTGAGATTAATGCCCTTCTTGAGCCTGAATTAGTGTGTCAGCATCTTTTCAGACCTGGGACCACAGAATGTAGGAAGCATGCCATAATGGACCTTAGCCTTTAACTGAACTGCTCTAATATTATTCCTATAACAAGACTACTTTTAAAGAGGCTCATTATTGGCTTCATTAGATATGTTACTTGCATCAGTGGCTGTAGTTACTCGTATAATATAGAAGAGGTTAACATAGCGTATTTTTTATGTATTATATGGCATATAGCTTGAAGTAGCCAAAAGGTTTATGGCGATGTAATTGGTAGTTAGTGTGAAATTTGTAAGACAAATAGACAATACCTAGGGTAACCCCTATAATCCTCTCCTTTCAGTTTTTTACAGCCACCAAAGGGCCTCATTAAAACAGCAGTCAGCACCTTAGTGAAAAGATACAGTGCTTATAGTGCCCAAATGTGACAGAAAATCTGCATTTTGTAAATCTGACACCTTTGATAGATTATACAGTGTGAAGCCATTGCTTCTAAGCATTATGATAACGCTTAAGGTTTTCTTCTGAATCCAACCGTGCTATATTCACTGGATATAACAATGTGAAAAAGAGCTGGTTGAATAAAATAAAGCATGTGAGATGGAGAGGAGCCTTTTTCCCTTTGATGCAAAGCTCATCTCATGCAATGGGACTAACTGCTGTAGTTGATATTCCCGGCTCTGCTCGTACTTAGGAATATGTACATGTAAATATTGGCAAAATTACTGCTTAATATACAAATGCAAAAAGAAACTCTGCCTACATCAACCAGTTTATATGGCTCTGTAAGGAAGACTGCTTGTAGTGTTATGCTTGTGCAGAATGCTGATGGTGTTAAGGTTTCTTTTTTTTTTTTTTTTTTTTTTTTTTTCCGGTTTAAAGGCCCGATTTTGTTCTCACTTAAACTTGTGTAAACCTAAGTGGATTCCAGTGCCCTCTGTGAGTCCTGCTGTCACTCAGACTCCTGTAAACTTGATGTAATGCACTGGCTTACATGGAATTAAATGGGTGGGTGCAATTAAAGGAGAATCTGACCAATGAATGCATTCTACTTTCAGCTTATTTATAATAACAAGAAAACAAAAATGAAAAATAGGTTTGCAGTACTGTGGTGGTTGCATGGAAGCTCACTCCTTGCTCTATAAGCTGTAGCTACATATGTTTGTTACTTACCAATATATTTGGTGGAGTGAACTGCTTGAAGCTGAGCAAACATGAGTTGCCATGGTTGATTAGTTACAACTATCTGCTCTTAATTGCAAAAGGCAACCTCAAAATCCAGAGGTCCAGAGCTGTGATTATTATCCTCCTCTTTTTTTTTTTTTTTTTTTTAAGAACTTGCCAAAAATAAAATGAAAACAATCACTTAGTAGTTCCCATTGCCTGGTTTGCCACTGAGTAAGTTTTTGTGCAGTTTTTGCTCAGGGGGACAGGATGTAGGTTACAATGTTTGCTTGGGCTCCAAACGTGGCAGCTGTTTACCCCTTCATCTGAAAGATTTCCTCTTGTATTAGAGCTGCTAAATAGACAAAGAGTGGAGTAAAAGTCACATTTGTTTCCCTGATAAAAAAAAAAAATTACACCACTGACAATTCCTATAGAGGAATTCCACCTTAGTCCTCTGATAGTTTCAGAAAACGTACTGTTCAGTGCAGCTGAAATAGGAATGCAAAACATTAAAAAAGGGGAGGAGGGGATTCATGTGTGAAGTGTTTTATTCCCTCTTGGATTAGGATTTGTTCCTGCCCAGGGTAAATCTGCTGTTTCAAGGTGCAGAATCGATCCCTGTGGGTAATAAGGGCTGAGTAACACTGCTCAGTGATTCCGGGGGGTTTGATTTTGTGTTCTCTTGAAAGATATAAAGGTAAAGTGAACCTGTTGAGCTGTTTTCTTCGCAAGAATTTTCACAACTTGAAATTTAAGTGCAAATGCATTCAAATACTGCAGCAAAACAGGAAATAACTGAAGTTACACTGCAGCTTACGTTCTGCTTTTACTACTGTGTAATGTGGGGGCACTTCTACATGCTTATGACTTTAAAAGCATTGACAATATCAAAAGTACTCAAAAATTTTCTATTGTCCTTTAAATAAGAAAAAGCCACCTTTGTCTCACTGCGTTACATTGACTCCTCAAGCTGTTTTTTATCCTCAGTGTCCTAACTGAAGAAGTGTCTTTCTACATTGTTGCAGTCTTCCAAGGTTTGTTGTTACAACACCTTGCTTTGCTTTTGCAAAAGCAGAATTAAGAACGCAAGGAGTAGAAGCTCTCTTTCCACCATGGTGCAAAGGAACTCTCTGCACTTCTGCTGCAGTGGCTTCTGAAGTGTCACTACCAAAAAACTGACTCCTTCTAATTGTGTTCCTTGTTTCCAGGTTGTCCAAAATTTGTGCCTTACTTCTCGCAAATCACACAGTTATTAAAATGTACACCAAAGAAAATCCCTAGAGAGAGACACAAGCCTCTCTCTCTCTTGTTTGATCTTTGGCCATTGGTAGGCAAGGTCTTGAGCAGCTGAGTTGTGTGTCTTGGGCCATGTGAGTGGAGAGGTTCATGCTGGCCTTGGGTCCTCCTGGATGGTGGCCAGGCTGCCTCTCTCACCTGGGGGATCATGGCTTCACTGTAAAGCCTAGCATTCTATTTGTTTCAAAAAAAGGCACCCAAGTCTTTGTGCCTTGTGGTCACTGATACAAAGCAGGGAGCAAATGGACATGCCTGGGTTTCTCGTGGAGGATGGTTGTGTGGCACCTAGATGGCTTTAATTAATCTTGCAGGACAATATGGAGCAGCATGTAACAGCAAACTGATTCTGTCCATGCATGCTAGAAGTAATTTTGTCTTAAACAGCAAAACAAGGGCTTGCTTAGGTGTGGGTAATATTGAAATCAGGACCTTCAAGAAGCCTTTCAAATTATTTTACATATGTGTGTGTGTATACATACATATATGTATGTATATAAAAGCCTAGGGTTGGTCAATACAACGGCTTGCGCTGCTAAAAGAGCATTTCTGAGTACTGTGTCTATGGTTTTTAATTCAGTGGGTTATTCACATCTGTTAGGTGAGAATTACAGAGTGCTGAAATAATGTATTCTTGTGTTTTAGATCTATCACTGCCAAGGGCTACTGAATAGTAAGTATCAACATCTGTGTTACTTCGTCTTTGAGTTTTCTGATTAAATGTGTCTAAACATTTCAGATGCTATTGGAAATAAAAATGAAAGTAGTTTTGAGCCGGTTTGATGTAGGATTTCACCAAAACATGCTAACAGCAAACATTAGTTAAAGGACTATATTTGCAATTAGCCCTAACTAACATTAACCTAGCATTCTGATTTGTATTATTGAAAGGACGTTAGGCTCTTGAAACTGTAAGGAATGGAGTAAATATAAATAAAGGTACCTGTATTTTGACAGTGACGTTCCACCTCTGGTTCCCTGCATACACAAAAATCATTCAAATGCCTTTTCTTTCCCTGACAAAAATATTCATTAAAAACATTTCACTGTGCTGCCTTTTAATATAGCGCGGGCATTCAACCTGCGCAGGAAGCTCCCTGGAACCACACAAATACTGTGTAATTATCTTGTGGCTCCCCGCTGGCTGCTGCATATTCCAAGCACAAAGTGAGCAGCACATTTCTAGAGCCTGACTCCTGTCTTCATTGTCCCTGCTTGGAATATGAAGCTCCGCTTCATTATAGCATACCTGATCAAACTTGATAGATTTAGCCATTATTCTTGACTGTGTCAACTTTCTACAGCTTTTTTTTTTTTTTTTTTTTTTTTTCCCCTCTTTCTTGGGCTCTTTTGTTTTGCCACCCAGGGAATGCATCTTATTTCTAGGCGCTCTGCCTCTTTCTCTTTCTCTCTCTGTCTCTGCCTGCTCCCCCCCCAACCCCCCAACAAACCAAGGCTTCAGCAAATAATGCTGCTGGTGTGTCATGTGATTCAAGGAAAATAAGGCTTGCAATTTTTTTCTCAATTGTCCTTTATGGTTTTTATTGACTTTTTTTTCTTTTTCTTTTTATTTTTATTTTTTTTTCCAGTTTGTTTCTATAAAAAAAAAAAAAAATAAATTATACTGCAATATTGACATACAATACAGAAAAGCTTTGAAAAATCCTTATTTTCTGTTAGTGGTGCAATAAATTTAATGTTGTGAGGATTTTTTGTCTGTTTTATGACAACTTTCAAGTAGCACTTCAGAGTTCATATTTTCAAGAATGATTCAGGCAAATTTATCTTATCAAATTTTATAAATCATTACTTTGTTTATTTAATCTAGCGACTTATCATCATGTTTTCTTTGCAAAAGGCATTAGATCATTCTCTGGGCAAATACAGATGTTAATATGACTGGTTTACCATAACAGATTGCTTTGTAGTTTTTGAGAGTTGCTATGCAACAATAGAGCTGCTCCGGCAGATTTTTAAAATACTGGATGAAACACAGAGCATTTTCATAGCTAACCTAACACAGATCCCTTAAATTGCTGCAAAACGAGTTAACCAACATGTGAAAAATCTGCTCCCAAATTTGTAAGGCTTACAGGGTCAACCCATTTTTACTGTCATGAATGAGCATGGTGAACAGAGTGCCAAAGCTTTTTAAGCTTTGTATATAATCTGTAGTATTTGTCATATTGGTATGTATATTTTATAGGCACAATAATGTAGAAAACCACTTATTAATTTGGCTTATTAAGTAGCAGTTCTGAATTGTTCAAACTTTAGAAAGAAATCAGGCTTCTTTCCTTTTGTTTCTCATTTGGTTGCAGATTAGAAGGTAAAGCATGTCTTATAGTTTCCAGCAAGTTTATGGGGAGATTCTTATTGAGGTATATTGTGTAGCAGCATTTTAACACTTTTAGGCATCGGTCTGGCTTAGATTTAGTGTTATGCTTTTTAAATTAAAAAATCATTATTTTTTAGAGTGGCATTTTCAGTCTCACCAAGAGCTTCTCGGCATCTTAAAATGTAAATTGCAGAGAAGCAACACAAAGGATAAAGAGAAGATTTTGAAGGCAATCACAGTGATCACTTAATTCAGTCTCTGCATATCCACTTGGCATAAGGTAATTAGAGTGCCACATTGCTGTAAAGACAGAAAGCTTAGGGTACCATTCTGACTCACCCAGACGATAATACATGATTAGAAGTCAGTGACAGATCACAACTGCTGAATGACCCACCAAGGTCTTATCAAGGGCAAATCGCATAATTAGCAAGCACTTCGCTGGCAGAGGAGTACAGTGCTATTGTTCTGGCACAATCAAATTAGCCCAGCCAATGAGGTCACTGTTCCGTGACCTTAAAGATATTTCATGTTTTATTTTTCTACCATATAATAAAAAAAAAAAAAAATAAAAAAAAAAATAAAGAGGGAAAAAAAACCCAAAAAAACAAAAAACAAAAAGCCACACCACTTTAAACTGAGCTGAAGTTCTTATGGATGCTGCAAATATCCATTGTGAAGGCATTTCTGGAATACACTGCTGCCTCCTTAGTTCATCATGTTTGGAATAAAGGAGTTGGCTAATGCAGCCTGACCCTGGGGGCCACACATGTAATGGAGCCACTTTGACAGAAATTGGAGCATCTCGCCAGGCCTGGAACTCATTTGCCCTGAATGCATCCGTGGCATCCTGCACGGAGGGGGAGGGAGAGCCTTCATGCAAGCACACAATCTTTCCTTCATTATGATAATTAGCACAATTATCTTGATTTGCTCATTTTATCTGTATTTTCCCCAAGGTTTGGCCATTTCCCTTGTCTCTTCTGCTCCAAAGCGGGGCTCTCAGCTCAGGGCAGCAGTTGCTGGGGATCGGGGACATCACGAGCACCCCAGGCATGTCACCCGCGGAGTGCCGCGGAACGGCCACAGTAAGATGTGCACACAGAGAAGCCTTCTAAGCCATCCCCAGAAAGCCTCTTCTGACTTTTCATATGGCAGAGCATCCTCAGGCTCACCAGGAACTGGAACCTCCCGATTCACAGCACAGCTCTCCAAAGCAGGCTCACCTTCAAACTCCTATTTTTCAGCTGAATTTGGAGTCACTGACACAAACTTCTTTTTTTTAGTCCTTTGTTCCCGAAACAGAAATGCAGTTTTGAATTGATCTGCACACTTGTTAATATGCATGGTTTATAGGAACACCATTGTAAGTTTTAGGAAAAGTGAGAACATAGGCTTTATTTGTATTCTCTGCTGGTAGCCTGCACATATTTGGGCTACGTATCCCAACCTCTCCTGGATAATTGAATCAAAAAGGTTTATAATGAGTTATCTCTGTCATGTCTTGGCCTCTGTCGTTGCTTTCCTTTACTGTGGTTTATTTATTTATTTTTAGCTTGGCTTAACTTAAGGGAGGAACTCTAAAATGTTTACATGCTGCGAATTTAAAGATGAGCTTTCATTCTCAGTCAAAACGGAAATGAAATCTCAGCACTCAAGTGTCCTTTCCTGGGTTTGGAAGAGGTGGTGAAGATGAGATCTGCTATTGACAGCACCTTCTTTGGCTGTAATTAGTCGTGGTAGAAAGAAGAGCAGGAAATGAGGGCTAAGCTGCATGCTTAAATAACATTTTTCTCATGGCAGAATGTGTGTGAATGCTCACCCTTGAGCCAGTTACATAATTCCAGATATAACCTCGCTTGTGTGTACCACACCTGCTTTATAGTGCTTGTGGTCCTTCCCATTCCCCAAGCACATTTTTATTGATAAATAAACAAATATTCCTTACTGCCGTATGATATGTAGGTAAAATACAAGAATTCATTAGAGAAAGCAATTGAAATTAAAGATCAGTGATGCAGGGTCTTTCCTAAGAATTAATTCTGAAAATACATTCTATCTATTGTAAGTAGCCGGGCTGAGTCTGAGAAGTGTGCCATTGCAACTTTTCCTTGTCTGGCAGACAGCTTATTTCTACAGGTCTCATTGATTGTGCAAACACAGGAACATTCTCTTTCCTTGAGAATTAATATTGACTGTGTATAGAGCGACAGCAGTGCTACAGCTATCTGCAAAATCATATAAACATATATAATTACTCTGAAAATCTAATCTATTTCTGGATACATAGTCCATGTGATAACTTTTGTTTCACTGGATAAAATGATGAATTATATACAAAGAAGCAATTACGGTTGTTCTTGAATTGGAGGTGGAAATGCACCCTTTGTATATACAGACCTGCTTTTAATAAAAGCCATTTATTTCTCCAGTTTTAAAAATGTGTGTGTGTGTATATGGATGAGTGTCGGTGTGTGGATGTTTACCTGTCTGTGTATAAATAAAATGAAAAACTGTGTCTCTGTATATCCTGCATGTGTAGATGCATGTATAAGCATACAATAATTCATAGTCCCATAAGCTCTTGGTGGACATTCCTGCCTCAGTCATTCAGCCCCCACCATGAAAGTCCCCTAACAAACAGGATTAAAATTCACTCCTTTCAACCATCCTAGGCATTTATTCCTTCCTTTTCATTGAGCTACATTTGTCTGATTTAACAAGATAAGATTTGAGTGCTGATGCAGCCCGTTGTTAATGCAGCAGCCGCATCCACCATACCATCGACACTATGCATCAGAGGGATGCATAAATCAGGTATTCAAAAAAAATTAGATATGCAGCACACCAGTTTTATAGTCCCAGCCTCAGAAATTGAAATGGCCCAGATTAATGTATTATATCTTACACACTGTCCGAGTGAATCAACTTTAATATATTGAACAGATTCGCAGAACAAGACTTTGTTATCTAAGGAGCACTCGGAAGAAGGAATTGACCTGAGGATTTGATTTGGTTCAGGTAGTTCATGTTGTACAGCGGCATTTGAATAGTTTCACATAAAAATAAAATTTGTATCAGAAATATTTCACATCGTTCTGGGCTTGCTCATATTGAAGCTTTGCGGTGGGGCAATATGACAAAAACAATGTCCAGCAAAAAGATGATTTTAACCTTTGCTTCAGACACGTCAAAACAATATGATGTAATTTTAATGCAAACTGCTGTTTCATTGCAGAGGCGATTCCACACACTGACTTTAACTAGTTTAGGTTTATGCTGAAAATGAAAAGCCCATTGAATTTCATGTATGATGGAAACGCCACAATTTACACTGAGCTGCTCCCAGAGCGCGCGTTCTGTGTGAAGCCGCGCGGTGCGACGGTTCCTATCGGACTGCACCTGCAGCATCAAGGGCAAATGAATGTTAGTGAGGTGCTGGGGCTGCTCCTGGTTTGGTGAATCACCCCAGCTGTTAGAGTTTGGACACACGTTTGCTTTTTGAAAATGCAGCAGCAGCCCTGAGTAAGACGGGGCGCAGTGAGGTGCAGGGCTGAGTCAAAGGCTCTCAAGTGCTCAAGTTTGGGGGTCTCGTGTGATGCAAAAAGAGAGCACAGCATGTGATTGGAAAGTGCTCGCATCTGTAATTGTGCTCGTCCAATTAGCCAATATTCCATATTCTGAGCACCCATTACACACCTTGATGTAAAAACCAGGCATGTTATTGAGATGTTTTTGCTCCTATGGATGTTGAAGATGCCTAGTAAGATTTAAAAATACGTGGCTATCTTACAGCACTTGGAATTGTTAGGTGCTTTTCAGACATCCCGCGCCTCTAAAATATGACCACAGAGGACATAGGTTTAAGTCTGCCCTTTTTGAGCATTTTATGTCAACCTATTTGTGCTGTGTAAAAAATAGATATTTAAGCAGGTAAGGGTAGGCTATGGCTGATCTAATGTGGTCATAGAGTAGCAGAAGACACAGAAACCTTCTTGTTAAGTTGTACTAGATCTGGAGTCAAAGCCTGGGCTAAGGAGATCAACATGGTGTATTTCCCCATAGGAAAGTAAATAATAGTGCAGGGAGAAGTCAAGTCTGGTCCAGTATTTAAGGCTGTCCAATGGATCAGGCTAATGCTGTGGCATGGGAGCCCCAGGAGTTGCCTGGGACGTGGAGGCATGTTTTGAGCCATCTGAGTTTCTTTGAGCACTCTCCAGGCACCAGTCAACTTCACATTTTTAGCTTCATCCAGAAGACAAAGTCCCATCTGAATTAATATCCCAGTCTTTTCTCTTTCATAGGCAATGTTGTAATTTACAGTAACTTGTACTAGGAAAGAAATTGTAATACATGTGTTATCTTTTTAACTTGAAGACAATATATGAATCAATTAGGCTGAGCTAAAATCCTTCCTGAACTTTCACCCTCCCACCTCTACTCCTGCCCCAGCCACTTGATATAAATTATGAGTCTTTCTTTTTTAGATGAAATTGTGTCTACCTAGACTGGTAACAATGAAAGAGAGATATTATTATCAACTTAGCATTTATTGCATGCTATCAGAAAGGGCAATTTTGATTTGTCAACAAATTCACCGTCTTCTTGCATATAATAACTGTGAATAATTAGCACTAAATGCATACAGGAATCCAGCATTAGAAGGTTGGAATGTTTAAGATATGATTATATACTTAAATTTGGAAAAGCTGGCTCTTTTGCTCAGCATGTTCCTCATAAATGTTGAGACTGCATGTGAGCCATTTTCCTCCAAGGTCTAAGTGTGTGCTTAGCTTCTGCAGTGAGCAGGGAACTTTTCTTCCTTTTTTGCTAATTTATGTATTTTTTTCCTCCATGAAATTGGAAGTCATCAATTTTACAAAATCATATTATAAACTTATAAACTAGTATGAGTGGAAATATCTGGTAGTTTGTGAAACTGTTAAACCATTCAGACAATTAGAAGAACATTTTAAAATCAAGTCACAGTTATTCCAGTGCATTAAGTATAACTCTTTAATGTTGCAGACTCTGTGGCTTCCATCTGTTCCATCAATTAAACTGTACGTTGATCTATGAAGTTATTAGCATAGCCAAAGTTCCAAATAGATCTGTTTTGCCACCAAAGGAAAGCCAACATCATTTAGCAGGAGCAATAATGCAATTTCTATTACAAGCCCTCTCCCAGTATTTGTGTGTGTGTGTATGTGTGTTTCCTTTCATAATACAGATAGATTTGAGCATTATGTGCTCCAGAAAAGAGAATCAGAGGGAGGTCGGGGTGGTGCTTTACTACCTGTGCTGTTGCAGGATAACTTGGATTTTTGTGAATAAAGTCATCAGAGAAACAGTTAGCAGAACAGACATTCCTTTATCCTGGTTACACTGGTGAGTCTCCTTGGCTGTTTCTAGCTGTCATCACCAAATAGAGGAGTGAGCTGTAGAGGCTGCTCACAGGTTCAGATAATTAAGAGAGTCTTGGCATCAATTCAAAAGTGGCCCAATTTTCTCATGGAAGGGATGATGGCAGTAAAAATACTCATGTCTTTAGATGAGCCTGAGTCTTGTTCTTGAGGTTCAGCGCTGGGGTACTGCTAGCTTTGCATCAGACAGATGGTCCCTGAGTTTTCTGGACCACAATCCCACTTGAGTTTTGTTCATCCATTCATTGAGGGCTATGTAAGAACTGAGGTCAATTCTATTCTTGCTGATGGGTCTTGCTCACTTGATGGGTAACCATTCTCTGTCAAATGAAGTTCCTGTCTGATTTCTCATTTAGTTACAACTTGAGAAAGATGCAGCACATAACACTTGCAAACAGGAAAAAGGTGGCTGAAAACATCCATCAGAACACAAAAGAAATGCCTGCTGACAGCATTGGAGCTGGAGCAGTTTTCCATTGTCCACTTGCTTTACTTGGACTCCTGGCAACGCAGGTGCATCTGCTGGATCTCAGAAATGGATACTCCCAGAAATTGAT